GTGGGTGGGTGGGTGGGTGGGGTGGGTGGGTGGGTGGGTGGGTGGGTGGGTGTGGGTGGGTGGGTGGGCGGGTGGGTGGCTGGGTCTGCATGTGTCTGTGTCTGTGTCTCTGCCTGGGACTGTGCCGCCTACCTGTGTCTGTGCCTGTGTCGGTGTCGGCGTCGTTGTTGATGTCGATGTCCGTGTCTGTGTTTGTGTGTGTTTGTGTGTCTGTCTGTCTGTCCGTCTGTCTGTCTGGCTGTCTTCTTTCACTAAGGCTCTCCCTCTCTCTCTCTCTCTCTCTCTTGTTCTCGCTCTCTTTCTCTTTCTGCTGACAAGGAGGAATCGTGGAACAGACTCCGTGCAGCTTTCTCCTCCCTCGAAGAGGCGTGGTCCTTGGTGACAGCAGAGGTGCCTCACAACTTCTTGAAGGCACGCATCTAGTGTATCCTTGAATCGTTTGAGATTGATGTTTCGAACAGCTGTGTTGGCTGCATATTATAGCTGCGAGTTGCTTTGCTAGAATCTTGGCAGGAATCCTGGTTGCAGAAAGCAACTACAGCATACAGTATGTGCTCGGGGTCGGGAACGGCGGAGATAGCACGAGCAGTTGTTCAAAACGTGGTGAATGCCAGTGGAATACTCCCGATGAACATGTCCGTGGAAACTGTTGCAATGTGGGTTCCTTCTCTGCACTGAGTTGGGTTTGTGTTGCAAGTTGTGAAGTGCAATCTGCATGGTTGGTGTCATGTTTGGATTGCGAGGAGAGGAACTGCAATTGCCATCAGCTGCTCCGGGACACAGATGTGTGGTGCAGTCAGGCCACAGGCATGTTCAGCGACGCCTGCCTGTTCGGAAACATCCTTGATTTCAACGGGCACATGGACCAAGAGTCTCTGGCACAGCAGAGCTACGGGCTGAAGAAAAGGAAGATCTTTTCCTGTGGAGCCCAACAGGAGCTTTATTGTGCAGCACACGGTCGTCTCTGTCCCGTTCCTGTTCGAGTGGATGTTGGGGTTTCGGGGCTGCCCTGCACAGACATGAGCTGCCTCGGCAAAAAGATGAAACGCGATGGGCCCACCGCCAGCATCTACATGACCCATGCAAAATTTTGCAAGCGGTCTCGAGTCCGTCTGCCAATTCTAGAATGCACACCTGCTGCTGGACTGCAGATGCTGAGTTGAGTCCTGCTTGGTTTCCCGTCCGTGCTGCTCCATGATGTGTTCATGTAACGACCTAAGGATCTGGATATGGGGATGGTCGAAGAATGCCACGGCCCAGAGTACGAGTGGCACCAGCTCTTCCTTGGACCGGGCGATTGTGGACATGCAGCTGTGTCACGTCCCCGGACCTATGTGATCGGCTGCCGAACGCAGGATTGCCAGGCAATCCATGATGTCGCCGAGCTAGCCGACAGAATCACGGAGCAGTTGCGCTGGACCGAGACCGTTGTCTCAGACTACCTGCTCGCTACGCCGACAGAAGTGGCTTTGGAAGCTCATGCTTTAGCTCGGAAGAGACAGGTGCGCTATGAACAAACGGATGACTTGCACTATTTGCTCAGTGAGAACGAGAAAAAGAGACTGGCGAGGTACCTTGACATCTACGAGATGAAGTTTGGCCGGTGCGGTCTGGAGGACCCGAATCTTGTGGTGTTTTTGGGTGACGATCCTAGTTGGACTCTTTCCTGGAGTGCTACTTCTGGCCGCGTCCCGTGCTTCCGAGTGAATGCACGGTCCAATTTGTTTTGGCTTCCAAAGTTTCATAGATTCTTGACAAACAAAGAGAAATTAGCCATGCTGGGTTGGCCAGTGCACCCTGTCCTGGCAGAAGCCATGAGGGTCCCTGTAATGCCAAGCACTGATATTGCACGTGCTGCCGAGTTGGCAGGAAATGCTATGCACCTGCACAGTGTGGGCTTAGCACAGATGCTGGGTCTGGCGTGCTTTGGACCTGTGTAGACAGGGCCAGGAGGTTGCCGGATCCCAGCAGCAGCCTGGGTGCGGCCCCGTGTCGCACGTACACGGAGCCGTTGTGTTTGCACTGTTGCTGATGGCTAGGTCGCCTGCTTTCGAATCAAAACAGCTGGGGGTTTGCTTGCGTTTGAGAGAGACAGAGAGAGGGACACGGAGAGGTGCAGCTGCTGATTTCATTCCGGGGAGGACAGTAGCAGAGAAGCTTCAGGCAGTTGTGCGTGCAGTGTCGTCATCCGAAGACCCTCCTTTTGCTTGATTCAGAGCAGCCTAGTGTGTGCCACTGTGTGTGCTGTAGTTCTTATCAACATGGTCACTGTCGTGTTTGATGGCGGTGACGAACTACCTTCGGACTCACGCCTGGCTGGGGACCGGGACGATTCCACAGAAGATGAGGAATCGGGCAGTGGGAGACCTACCTCATCCAGAAAGACCGGATCCAAAGGCAAGACGCCTTCGAGGGGCAAGCCTAAGAAAGGAACCAAAAAGACTCCCAAACGCCCCTACGGCACACAGTTGAAGTTCAAGAACTGGGCCAACACCCCAGTCACAGACTCAGACAGATGTTGATTTTGGGGTGGTTGCACATTGTGCACATGGTGATTATTTTGATGGTGAATCATTTTGAACCATAGCACCTGCTGAGGTCCAACACAAGATGAGGTTCATGGCTGCTGTGGCGCCAGACAAGGCGAGCGAGAGTTTCTTGAGAACTCTCAAGGTGAACCAAGTTGCCACGGCCTTCTACGGGTTCTTCAAGCAACCCAACAACCGCCGCCTGGAGGGTGGGTTGCTTGGCCGAGTATATGCATGCACTACACATACGTGCATACACACATGCACAAGCGTACAACCACATACGTTCACTGATACACACCTACCCAAACATGCAAACCAACAACAAAAAACGCCTCCCTCTCTCCATCTGCCCCTCTCTCTCTCTCTCTCTCTCTCATTCCCTGTCTCGCTATCCTTGCGCCAATTGTTTCTTGTGGGTGTCTACATGAGTAGGCTTCCTGTCGCGAGTGTGCCCGGAAGGCTGTGGCGTGGGTATGTTTTGTATCTGTGCTTTTTCTGAGGCCGAATGTGGAGAACATCCAAGAGCACCTGGTCAAGGAGTACAAAGCCCTTGGCGAGCCAGCCAAGAACATGCACGTGTTGGAGATTGTGAAGAACACAGAAGTCGAGTTGTCAAGAAACTTGTCCTTCGAGATCCACCAGGACAAGAACAGCCAATGGATCACAGAGGGGCGCAACTCGATATGGCTGCCAGAGCTCACAGGCGGCAAGTGGAAGGACACCATTCTGAAAGACCGGAACACATTTGTTCCATTTGCACAGCATGAGAACGGTGAAGTCAGGCCTTGCATAAGCTTCTTTCAGAACGACGACGATTACACGGCCCGCCCCAAGACCGTTTCGGAGGCAATAGCGTGTCCGGACCTTGTCAGCATGAAGGATGAGGCCCCGAAGCCCCCGTCGACGCCTGGCGCAATGCCCCTTCGAGGAATGCGCGGCACAGGCGCGAACCAGCATAGCATGTATTAGATGTTGTGTGTGCAGAGACACAGATGATTTTTGTCCGCACCCTGCGCAGGACCTGCGCCTCCGCCACCGCCAGAGGAGGGACCAAAATCGAAGAAGCTGAGGGCGACCCCTAAAGCACCCAGTGACGACGAGGATTCATCCGAGAAGATTGACCCTCCGGCCTACCCCCAGACGCTGAACGGCTACTGCATGGACAAGGGCCTTGACCAGGTATTCGTGCACCCAGAGGACGACGTTTGGGACATCCGCGTCTTGCCGGGTGATTGTGACGACTGGTGCCTCTATGAGAAGGAGGCCAGGTCGAGTGTTGGATAGTTGCGAACACAAACTCATTGCGCGAAGAATTTCAGCCGGTGTTACGTGCTTAGATATTCGAGATAGTTCATCCTAAGAAATCTTCATAGTCCGTCACAGAAGCAGTAGTCGTTTGGCCAGGAGACCCACAAGCTCTATGCAGCCAGTGCCTCGGGCCAGCCGGATGTGAAGCCCATCTGGATTGCGAAACTTTTCAAGTTGAAATCTCCCAACGACGTGGAGCATGCGCAGAAACTCAAGGCGGAGCAAGAGAAGAAGGAACTGTTGCAGAAGCAGCAGAAAGAGGCGGAAGAGGATGAGCGAGATAATGAGCGACTGGAGAAGTACCGCAGCATTCTCGCGGCCGACATGAAGAAGACAATGGAAGCAGAGCTTGAAGGTTTCAAAGTGCAGTTGGAGAAGGAGGCTAAACTCAAGTTGGCAGCTGATCAAGAGGCCCTGAAGGAAGCATACGAGCGCAAGTTGCAAGGTACAGCCGGCGAAGGCAACGACCTTGAGAAGACGAATCCCGAGGAAGCTGGCGTCATTGCAGCGCCAGCGGAGCCGGCTGATCCGAAGCCAGCTGCCGATCAGAAGGAAGAGGTGACGTCCTCGCCTGTCAAGAAGGACGAGCAGGCACCCCCGGATGACAAGAAGGCGGAGTTTCTCAAGAAGATGAACGCCGCAGCCAAGCCCGATGCCGCGGCCAAGAAGGAGGCAACCCCAGCTTCGCGAAAAGCTCAGAAGGTGACCCCGCCAAAGTGCAACCAGTCTGCATTTAGTCGTTGTTGCTCCTTGCCCTTCGTTCGTGGCTGGCCCCACCCATTTCCCTTTCAGGGACGGGGTCCGGCGCCCATTGGCGCCCATTGGGCCCCATTTGGCCCCATTGGGCCGCATCGGGGGGCCCCCAATGGGCCCCAATGGGGCCCAATGGGGCCAAATGGGCGCCAATGGGCGCCAATGGGCGCCAATGGGCGCCAATGGGCCGGACCCCACCCTCCCCTGTGAAACCCAATAATTTGCCCACCTTTCCCGGGTCCCCCCCCCACCTCCCCACCCCACCCTCCCCACCCTCCGCCTCCCTCCGGCACGTCCACCTCTGCACCGCAGCAGCAGCAGCAACAACAGCAGGAACAACAGCAGGAACAACGGCAGCAGCAACAGCAACAGCAACAGCAACAGCAACAGCAACAGCAACAGCAACAGCAACAGCAACAGCAGCAGCAGCAGCAGCAGCAGCAGCAGCAGCAGCAGCAACAGCGACAGCAACAGCAACAGCCACGGCAACAGCAACAGCAACAGCCACGGCAACAGCAACAGCAGCAGCAACAGCAACAGCAGCAGCAGCAGCAGCAGCAGCAGCAGCAGCAGCAGCAGCAGCAAAAACAACTTCACAACGACAACAACAGCAGCAAAAACAACTCAACAACGACAACAACAGCAGCAAAAACAACTCAACAACGACAACAGCAGCAACAACAACAACAACAAGAACAAGAACAACAGCAACGAGGTGTCCCAAAACGGAGCCACGAAAAGAGACACCGCAACAGCAACAGCAACAACAGCAATAACAACGAACACGACAACAACAACCACAGCAACAACAACCACCACAACCACAACGACCGCGACCAACACCGCCACCACAGCGACAACAACAACAACAGCAACAACGGCAGCAGCAACAACAACAGCAGCAACAACCACAAACACAACCACCACAAAACAATGACCAGCACAGCCGCCGCAACAGCAGCAGAAGCAAAGGCAGGTGCAGCAGCAGCAGCAGCAGCAGCTGCTGCCGCAAGAACCACAGACAACATCATCGAACAACAACAGCTGCAGCAGAAACGCAGAGCCAGCAACAGCAACGGCAAGCAACATCATCAGCACCAGCACCAGCACCACAACGACAGCAGCAACAACAACAACAACAACAACGAGGTGTCCCAAAACAGCGCCACGGAAAGAGACACCACAACAGCAACAGCAACAGCAACAGCAACAGCAACAGCAACAGCAGCAACAACAACAACAACGAACACGACAACGAACATGGTAACAACAACCACAGCAACAATAACAACAACAACGACAGCAGCAGCAACAGCAACAACAACAACAACAACACCAGCAACAACCACAAGCGCAACGATGCTTAATGCTGATTCTGTTGCTATAGTTGTTGTTGGTGTTGCTGTTTTTTTGTGTTGCTATTGTTGTTGTTGTTGTTGTTGTTGTTGTTGTTGTTGTTGTTGTTGTTGTTGTTGTTTTTGTTGTTGTTGTTGCTGTTGTTGTTGCTGTTGTTGCTGTTGTTGCTTGCACTGACTGCCGCTGCTGCTGCTGCACTCTTGCTGCTAATCGTGCTGTTTTGGCTGCCGCTGGCGTTGAAGTTGTTGGTGGTGGTGGTGCTGGTGTTGTTGAAGGTGTGTTTTGTGGTTGCCGTCGTTGCCTTCTTCCGTATTCAGGGACAGACAGCCACCCGAAGCCACTATTAGTAGCCGGTGTCAAATTCTCAAAAAGGAGACGAACTGATTTTTTCCACGAAGTAAGTATGCAAAGGCCCCAATCCTTATCATGCGTATTTGCCAAGGCTCTAATTGAACACCCCAACAAAACATTGGTGCAACATTCTCCGCAATCGCTCCGAACTCATGGTTGCAAGCAAACGTAGGAGATGTATTCCCGTTCCAGACGCCTACAGCGAGTTATCACCCATGTTGGTCTGTCTATCTAACAATACAGCCTGATCCCTGGAATTGAAACCCTGCTGCATGCTGAGGATGACTACAACGGGCGGAAGGGCATTCATGCTTGCATCCTGGGACAGCCACCTTGAGGGGCAATTTTCTGTTTGGCTGCGGCCCATTGCAGGATGACAGTTTAGGTTTCGTGTGCTTCGGAAACATGTGCTGCTGTGCAACGGAGTGCAATGTCAGATTAGGCCGTTAGTGTAGGCTACACACGTAGGAGTACCGCACGGCTTATGTGACCATTCGTTGATGTGCTGCAGTGCGCGTGCTTCCGCGGGCATGCGTCCGCTCCTATAATCCCTGGGCACGAAAGGAAGTCCTTCCCTGTACGTCGGCAGGAGTGTCGCAGCGGAGAGTGGACAAAAAGCAAAGATGCAAACATTTTCAAAGCCTAGTGCTAGTGCTTGCATATGCGAAAACCCTCGGAAGACTGGCTGCACACATGTCTGTTGCGCTTTGACTTTGCAGTTTGGAAAGCACTCAGAACTGGACCCAGGTCCTGCCTACTTTCGCTCTTACACTGGACGGCATCCAAGACGCGTGTCTCGACAGCATTTCTCTACGTGATTCTGGAATGTTAGCTGCAAACACAAGGACTGTCAGATGCAGACGTGACATGAATACCTTTGTCTCTCTCTCGCACTCTCTTTTTCCATCTGTCTCCCCTTCTTTCTGTGCACGGTTGCGTGTGCGTTTTGTTTGTCTTCGTGTGAGTGAGGGTCTCGTGTGTGTGTGTGTGTGTTTCAGTGTATACCTTCCATGTTTGTTGATTTGTGCCGTGTGTTTATAAGGCAGCAGGCGGCACAGAAGCCGGGGCGCCTCCTGCACATCACGAAAAAACAAAAAACGGCCTTCGGTGTATTGGATCCCTGGCATTGCAATTACAGCTTGGTCTGATGACATGAGCATGTTTGCAAGGCAGTGTGTATGTTTACATGACAATCCAGGCACACTTGAAGGGCTTGCAGAGCACGCTGACTGGCATGCTCGACTCCGGATTAGAGCGCTTCATTCCGGAGAAGACATGGCCAGTAGGGAAACCGCTGGAAGCGGAAATGCTGGCGCCGGCAAAAGCTCTGGACCGTCCGACACTGGTGCTCGTTACTTGGACTCGGGTTCTATTGCGATTGCATTCACAAGGGTGATTTCTCCGGCAGTTTGATTGTTCCCTCTTAGGTAGCCGACGAGGAATCCTTGCAATGGAAAACATTGAATACTCTGACGTATTCGGTGGGTTTGCGGGTTTTTGCTGACAGCGACCCACTGCATCCACTCTGGAACAACGTGAAAAGCAGCATCAAGAAGGCTGGCCTGGGATCGGCGCTTCTCAAAGCAACTCTCATGAGCCACACGGACCACTCTCCGTTTGACTCGGGTGTCAACTTGGTCACCAAGGCTGAAGCAGCTGAATTATGGATAGAACGTTGCTCACGAGAGCAGTTTCTTGAACTGCAAGAAAACATGGCGTTCGACAGAGGTTGCAAGGTCACGGATTCGGGGAATGTCCCCGGCAGTCCACAAGAGCTGCTATGCGAGAGTGCAGTGACAACACGTGGGATTTACGTGCTGTCCTCAGTCTGTGCGGTGACGTGTTTTTAGATTTGTTTTTTTTTTCACGGACGGAGACCATAAATAAAGTAGTATAATGTACTTGTCAGTGTCGGGTCTGAGTAGGCAGTGATGTGCTTGTGACAGCAGAATAATATTTCAAGTAGCCAGGTAGGCTTCATACTAAGGTGAAATCGAAAAGCTGGTTCCAAAGCATCGTGGCTATGCACATTATTGACAGGGACTGGAGCCTGAACGAAGAGCTTTACAATTACATCGTGACACATGGAGAGTTTGCCACAGAGGACCGTGTGCTTTGACGCACACGCACACGTTTCACACAGACACATGTGCACACACGGAGAGGCACGCACACACAGACACACAAATACACACGCAAGCATGCACAGAGTCACACAGAAATAATAGAAACACGCAAACATCCACACACACACACAGAGACACACACACACACACGCCAACACACACACACACACACGTGCGATGTGTAAAGACAGAGAGTCAGAGAGACAGAGAGAGCAATGAAACAATGAAGCAGCAAAACCAGAACAGTAGGCTCCCTAAAACATGTCTTGGAGGATCAGGATGTGAAGATGAAACCGCAGAAGCTGGACGACGAGGAGGAAGACGAGGCACGTCCACAGCCTGCCACGCGGGCAGAGATGCAAGAGCTCAAGAAGAAACACAAAAGCAACTTGGCACTGTCATGCAAGTTTCTTGCTGACCGGGAATTGCAGTTGGAGTTTCGTATCATTTACACGGGGGCCAAACACTTGCTGGACGAGTACACCTCCACGCTGGAGCAGCACAAGACGGGGCAGGACCACGAACTCACACCCAAACCCGTGTAGCTGTTGGGCCTCTGAGTAACCGAGTGTCGTTTCTCAGTCAGGAATTCCACCTAGTAGCCCGGGCGAGAGAATAGGGAAGGGTTGGTTTCGCGATGTTTGTTTGGGGCTGTTGCCTCACACTCAAACTCTGTCTGTCGGTCTGCTTGTTTGCCTGTCTCTCTGTATGGCTGTCTGTCTCTCAATCTAAGAATTTGATACCATCTTAACGTCTTCTCTTTGTCTCTGTTAGTTTCTGAGTCGATTCGTCGATCGTCTTTGCAACTGTGATCTGAACCCCTTCTTTGCCTTTAGGAGGGAGCACTCCGATGGGCAGCCCAGAGGAGCTTGGGACGGACGTGGGTTCCTTCGGTGCTTCGCATTTTGGGAACATTGCACAATGCCGATGAACTTTCCAAGTTGGGGCTGACGCTTCAGAGAAGCAGCCTGTCCGAAGCCGAAGCCATGCAGAAACCCTGGAATGAAAAACAGTTGGACACACTGAAACTGTCATGGAAGTACTTTATCCAACTGGCAAGTGCAAGGTGCTGGTCCCAAGCACATTTTGCTTGCTGCTTTCCACAGTGCATGGCTAGGTGTTTTGCAGAATCGGAGGCAGACAGAGACGGTAGCATGAGACTGATGAAGAAAATCTGGGACTCCGTTTTGAAGGCAGAGCGACTGCTTGGCGAGACAGGTGCAGGGCTATCTGCAGCCTCAAAGGCTGCTCTCCGCGACATGATGACAGACTTGGCCTGGAATCAGGGAGTGGTGGCGCGTGAGTGCTACCAAGTCCTGAAGAACAGTGATTTCGATTGGCGGAATTCGGAAGTCCGCGACACTTCGTTTGGTCTCTTTGGCAGAGTACCAAACACGAAGTACTACCAAGAGGACACCTTCGCCCACATGGCCAAGGTCATTAGTAGGGTGACTACGAACAAGAAGTTGGGATCGTGGCTTGACCTGCTTGTGCAGTTTGCTGAAACATGTCGAATGTATCATGCTGCGTCTGCTGCGTGGGCTGATTGATTCCAGGTGGGCAAGATTTTTCTACATGACCACCGCCAAGTCCTTTGCATCCCTTGAGTACCCACTGCTCCGCCCCGATTACGACGACTTCAGACAGACAACGGTGCACGAAAAGAAAATGGACAGCTCTGTGAATATCAAGTACAGCACCGGAAGAACAGCCATGCCGAAGGAGCTGAACCTCTCCTTTGCCAAGCTCCAGGCCAACGTCAAGAAGGCCGGAACTCTGAGTAATCACAGGATGGCTGCTGCTACGGCATGGGTGCTGGCCAATGCTGCAGCTGACTTCCGACGTGCAGACAGAGCTTGGACAGGACAGCCTAGTCATGGTCTGTGCGTCAGCATCGTTTATGTTGCTGTCCGCGTCTCCCGTGCGTGTGTTCTTGCTCGCTTGCTTTAGTGTTTACTTGCTGCTGTTGCTGTTTGACTGTTTGGTGCTTCCACTAAACTAAACTCAGTTTGGATTTTGGGTGGTTCAAATAAATCGGTGCTGTTTGACTGTCTGGTGCTTCTGAGATTCTGACGATTAAACTCATTATAATACTCAGTCTGGATTTTGAATCTTGAATTTTGGGTGATTCAAACAAACCCTGAAAGGAGTCTTCTTCCATGTTGGAGAGGTCTACGTCAACCTTGCTTCGAGACACCATGTGTTGTCAATGGGTTTCCGGTCCCATGCCGCGATGGGACTTCAGATGGACGCACATCAGCTGGGAGAGAAGGCTTCACTTGGACACGAGCAGCAGCACAGACTTGCTTATGCATAAGACAGTGAACATGAGTTTGGTAACCACTACTCCCTGACCGGCAGGTGTTTCTGACAGTGCGCGAAACACAAGGCATGCCAACCTGGATCAACAATGAGCTGCTGGAAGTGCGGGCAGACCCCTCTGTCAACGTTGGATGGCGCTTTGTGCCTACGAGGTTGTGCCTCCCCATGTTCATGCCAGCAGGACTTGAGGGGTTCGGTGCCTGTTTGGAGGTGACGGGGCCTCCCGAGGCTCTGTTGCCGGCAGCGTTGAGAACAGGCGTGCCACTCCTGGTGGAACATTTGAAACAGATTCACAAAGAATTGCAGCATCCGCTGCCCTCAGAAGGAACCGGAAAGAACAAAGGTGTGGTGAGAGCTGACCGCATCAAGGCCCTTGTCGAGTACGTGTTCTCGACTGAACCAGCGGAAGAACAAGCACGAATCATGGCCAGGTTGGGTGCGGCTCAGCCAGACGCGGATGACGACCCGCATATTCCTGCGACGAGGGAGCGACACCCTCATGAATTGGCTGATGCTCTGCGTGGCCTTGACTTGAGGGAACAGCCGGAGTTCAAGTATTTGGAGCAGCTGATTGAGGAAGAGGTTGGGCGGCAGGGTGAGCTGAACTTTCGGGCAGCCAGTGAGAAGGAGGATGCACACCAGCGCAAAAACTTCACGCCAACGCTTTTTCGCAAACTTCTCCCGGACCACCCCGGCTATGGCCTGACAAGATCCCCAGACATCAAAAGGTACTATGCGTACGTCCCTTGCGCGGTTCTTAGAACACAAGCAGCCTGTAGCCACTGTAATCACCAGGTGACTTCTGTTTGCAACAACTGTGTTTTGCTCTACCGAGGCAAGGTGGAGGGGTTCCTGCTCTCCCATAATGTGACGTGGGAGGGACCACGTCGCAAGCTCACCGAATTGGAAGCCCTTTCAGAGGTGGTGTATGATTACATTTGGCCAGTGTTCAACTTGCATGTGGGTGGCCACGGCCAAACCGAGCCACTTGGCGTTTACGTGCGTCTGTGCAGTGTCCGTCATGTCTAACTCTCACTCTCTTCGCTGCTTCTGTCTGTGTCCCCCTAAGGCCCTCAAAGGACACGCTGCGCAAAGTTCTAGAGCAAACTGCAGGCATGCAGGAGAAAGTCACCGTGCGAAGTGCAGACTCGCGTGGGGACGGAAGGCCTGGGAGTAGTAGTGATGCGCCCCCGGCGATGCCAAAGGCACCGGCACTCAAGAAGAAGGGTGCAAAGCCGAAGCCGAAATCCAAGAGCAAGTGAAAAGGACGCAGCAACGTCAACTTCATTGGCATCTTTGTCGTAGCATGTCATCATCATCATCATCATCAGTCATCAAGAACAAGTGAAAGCCATTGGGCCCCAATGGGCCCCAATGGGCCCCATCAGTCCCCAATAGGAAATTAGAACCACACGCCCCTCCTTCACACGGGCCTCGTAACACCTCCCTGATAAAACCTAAACCCTAAACCCCAAACCCTAAACCCTAAAACAGAACCCAGAACCCTAAACCGTCCCTTGTCTTCGAGAGCACAGGGCTAGGCCCGGCACAGCGTATCCGCCCCCTCCTCCGGCAGCTCCTTCCTTGGGGGCCAAGAGAGTCGAATCGGAAGGCCTGGCACCTGCACTAACCCATCGTCTACTGTAACAAGAGTCATTATTATTATTATTATCATCATCATTATTATTATTGTTATTATTATTATATGAATATGATTATTCTTATTATTGTTGTTCTTATTATTTCTCTTATTGTTATTATTTCTTATTCTTGTTATTGTTATTGTTATTATTTCTTATTCTTGTTATTATTAAGATGTTAGTTATATGAAAGTTCTGCTTCAAGCAGATGACAACGACGATGAGTGCAAGGGTTGCCGGCTGGCAGGCTGGCTGTGCGGGTGACTGGCGAGGCTGGGGGCCCTGCGGGTGGCAGAGGGGGTGGCAGGTGGTGGGGTTTAGGGTTTAGGGTTTAGGGTTTAGGGTTTAGGGTTTAGGGTTTAGGTTTTAGGGTGGAAGGTGGTGGGGTCTAGGGTTTAGGGTTTAGGGTGATGGCAGCACTTTGCAAAGGCTGCATCAGCCGGGTATTGAGTCACCGGCCTCATCGAACGGGCACCATCTGAGCACCCTGCGCACTCACAGAAGTGGCAGGTGCTGAATTGAATCCTATTACAGTAGAAACCAGAAGTTGGAACATCCTTATCCTCCTGCCCTAAAGGTAGAGTAGAGGGAATCCCAGCAAGAATCGTCCTAAATCCATGTTCCAACTTTCTGGGGTTCACTATATATCTTAGACTGACATCCACAAACTCGAAACCCACTCTACTCACCCACACAAGCTCTGAACACACCGGCTCATGAACCCGCTATGCTTTCGCATGCCGCATTGATGAACTCGATGGTACCCCAAGCCCCAAGCCCATGAAAGCAACTGTCAGGACTACAACTAAACACTTCTGACTTCACAAACATACCTACAGATATGAAAACATGCATACATGCATAAATGCAGATCTAAAGCAGAAGCCCTTGAAGTCGGTTCTTTCACCGACCCATGGATCCCTCCGGGGAGTGGGCGGAAGCCCTGGAGCTCCAACCGACGATGACCAGGACTCGTCGCCGTGATGTGGTAGCAACATCATGTAACAGTTTAGGGTTTAGGGTTTTGGGTTTTTTATTTTTTTTAAAACTCCTTTTTCCGAAGCCCAAAGCTCCCGAAAGGCTAGTACAGCCAGGACTGGAGGGTTTAGGGTTTAGGGTAGTAACCTGGTATAAACAGAATAGATATGTGGCGGTAGCCATGATGGTGGTCACGCTGGAGCTGGTGGTGGTGCCGGCAGGGGCGGTGGCCACAATGATGGCACAGGAAATGAAGTGATGACAATGCTGGAAATGTTGATGCTGGGGGTTATGATGTTGTGACGGTGACAACGACGATGGGAAGGAGGAGGAGGACGACGATAAAATCAACAAGCCAGTCGAATGTACAGGAGAGAGGCAAAACAGAGCAAGAATGGCAGAACAATAGATAGACACATTGAGCATCTGACGCGTCACTCCAGACAGAACTACGGAAGATCAGCTTCTGAATCAATACCAAGACAGACCACGGCTTCGAATCACCTCGCTTACAAACCCTCAACTTCTCAACCAAAACCTTGAAAGCCAAACTCCCGAAAGCGAGCCTGACTCGACCCCCATGGTCGAGCGAGGTCTTCGGAGACACCACGGTGAAGTGCTGCAGCTTGTCCGGATTCCCCTGGCAACAAATTTTGAAAGTGGGCTCGCGGTAGGGCACCAAGGTTTTGAGTTGCCATAAGCATGACAGCAGGTTATGAACTACATGCCCGGATTCTGGGGCTTGGCTTTGGAGGCATGGGTGCCGGCTTCAGGTTTTGATCTGAACTTTTCAACGGGCGAGGACGGAGGGTGTTCTAAGGACGGGGGTTATTGGGCTTCAAACCCTAAACCCTAAACCCTAGGCCATAAACCCTAAACCCTATAAACCCCAGGGGCGTGCAACTTCCAGAACACCAGGACAACGCACGTCGAGCATCAACCTGAAGTCCTCATCACATCTGAAGCCACAAAGGAGCCCCAAAACCCTAAACCCTAAAGCCCCTAACACCCTACACCCTAAAAAGGGCCCTAGGGTTTAACTTATAAGGGCATTCTTGCAACCTGCCGGCCTACTCGTCGGGGTGTCATCGTTCGACGGCTCTCAACAGCCGAATCTTAAAGTTCAGGCTTCAGGCGCTTCAGCTTGCGGACCGAAGAACTTTACTCAGCCACAATATACAAATATATATATATATATATATGTATATATATATATATATATACATGTGTATATATATATATAAATATACAGAAAAGTATACAGAGAGAGAGAGAGATGGAAGTTTCTGAGAATAAGGGGTACCTTATTTCCGGTGTCCTTACAATAAGGATCCTACTATTTGGGGTACTATATTCGGGTCCCCTATTTTCCAAAACCCCCATGTGTGTGTGTACATATATATATATATATGTATATATCAAGGCTCGGGGTTGTAGAGGAGTCATGCTTACGATTCTTGAACTCGATAAGTGTCAGAGAAAACGTCGATCCACAACCTGGGGCTCTGCAACTCACCCGAAAGAATGCCTGGGATTAGGGCTTAGGGTTTCACGACTCTGCTACACTCAGAAGCCAACGAGATTTATGCCTCGAAGCGCAACAACTCGACCCTGAACCTGACCCGCTAAATAACAATCACCTACATGAACCCCGTACAAAAACCCACCAAAAAGGACTCAAAGACGAGAAAGAACTCTTGCAAAACCGCTGCAAATTCTCATAGATCACGCATCGCAAAGCCCCCTGGCTCGCTGAAGGGCGCCTCCCAGAACTTCACCTGTCCATCCGCCGAGCCACTCATGAGCAGGGAGGGTTCCTGAAGTCTCGAGCCATGAGCTGTGGGTTCAGGGTTTAGGGTTCAGGGTTTAGGGTTTAAGGTGTAGGGTCTAGGGTTATCCATATCCGACTTCTTCTAGTTGTCCGTAATCACAACAGTAGCAGTAGCCCTTGCAGCAGCAGTAGAGAGCAGCAGCACAGCAGCAGAGAAGTTCTGGTTTGAGGGGCCTTCCATGTTGAGGGTTGTGGCTTCCAGAATTTGCACTCGTTTAGAGTTTGTCAGGGTTTAGGGTTTAGGGTTTAGGGTTTGTTGGGGTTTAAGGTTTAGGGTTTATAAGCTGGAAATGTTGGGCTTTGAAGTGTCAGAGTTTAGGAATCGACTGGCCCAGAGGCGATGGCGCAGAAGAGCTTGAGATCCCCTAAACCCTAAACCCTAAACCCTAAACCCTAAACCCTAAAACCCTAAACCCTAAACCCTAAACCGGGCTCCAGGGCTTTCAGGCCCCTTCAACCCCCCAGGCCCTCGTTATCAGCTCCGAGAGCTCCTATTAATAGGGTTTAGGGTTTAGGGTTTAGGGTTTAGGGTTTAGGGTTTAGGGTTTAGGGTTTTGCTGAAGCGGAAGCCCAGGTCTGACCCCGACTGATGCCATCGCTCGCCTCAAGAGGAAGGCTGCGGAATCACATGCCTCTTGGGTCACGACATGTACAGCACAAGCAGTACCAGCACTAGGCTCCTGTGATATTTTTTCTGAGACAACAGCCTGACACCTTTGTACACTATAGTCAGGATGACTCAGGACTAAGTACTCTTTGTGTTGCGTGTTTGGAAAACAGAGCCCGGAATTCGCATTCGCTTGCTTCATGGTTTCAAGATGATGTCTGGAGAAGCCGATGCTGCACAATCAATGGATGCCACCAGGCATCAACAGGTTATGAGCGCCCAAGGGGAAGCTCCGCTAGTGAATGGCACTGGGGAACCGATATCCTCATGCGCAAGAGCTGGGACGCAGGGTGAGGATACCGAACCTATGCGGCAGAGCTTGGGACCAATGGATGGTCCTACAACAAGCAATGTGGAACTGCAGGGGGCAATCGGCTCCGGAACTGGTGTGGTTGAAGCAGAGTCCGAGGGACCAGCAAGGGTTGGTCATGGAAGGCTCCCAAGTACACCGGAAAGGCCAAGCTCTGCACTGGCCGCTGAGTCTGTACAAGCTGTATCTGCCCGCCAACAGACCGAGCAACAAGATGCTGCGATATTGGATGAGGCCGACAGAAGACAGCCAGTGGAATTCGTGCGAGGGCGTATGCAAGCCGAAGCTCCGGCGGATTATCTGACGCCACGATCAACAGCGTCGGGAGCTGGGCAGCCGGCATGGCTGTCAGCACTGGAGTTGCCGAGGTGGATGACGAGATTTTCCTCGTACCTAGCAGCCCCGGGGAAAGACCAGGCGGAACCGAGCCCTTTGGCTGGAAGCGTGGCCTCTCCAACTGGAGGCGCAGTATTTGCATTGCGGTCGCCGATAAGGCAAAGGAGACTGCAGAGACCGCCGACTCCACCAAGCTCGTCGAGCATCCCGGCGGAGGCGATTCAAGCTGAAGTTCAGAGACAGATGTCTGGACTACTGGCGCGACTACAGGAGACTGAGAATCGCAATGCCGAGTTGCAGAGGCAGCTGGAAGAAGCAAGAGCCGGTGGTCACAGCAGGCCGGGCCGAGATGACGACCTGTGGGGAGGACTGCTAAGCGCTCCCTCTGGTCCTGGAGTGCTTTGGGGGCTAGAGCTCCCGGGTGGCCAAGGCGAGCGAGATGTGGGTGTTTTGGATACAACAGCAGTTCCTGATCTAAGTCATGGCTATGCAGTACCTCAACCTCCAAGCCTATCAGGAAGAGATCCACTACTAGTACCTACACGCCCCGACCTACCAGTACCTCCAATAGAACCAAGAAGGGAACTATCAGTCGAAGATCGAGGCCCTAACCTACCACAACCACCACTACTACCTCCTAAACCTACAGTACCAGCAGACGATCCAGAAGGAGCGCAAGGCGCGGACCACAGAGGGCTGTTGAGGTCCTTGCTGGGGCGCAATCGAACTCCTTCACCGCCTCCCGCGAGAAGCCCTGAATTACCGATGATGGAAACCATAGCAAAGGGTGTTCAGCAGCTACAAGAACTACAAGCTCAAGCTATGTCAAGGTCCTCAGGAGCCGCTACAGCTGATGGGCTAAGGGCAGGAACTACGGCCCTGGCGCCACTACCTGAGCTACGAGGGGGAGCGGATTCATCACTTCAGTTTCAAGATTGGTTGGAAATTGCCAATACGAGCATGTCTGACTTAAGCGAGCAGTCGGGAAGGTGGTGGAGAGCGATGATGAGTTTGGTTGAGGCGGCGTATGCAAGGTGGTTATCAGCGACCCCAATAGAGCGACTAGCTATCCAACCAGAGGGAACCTCAGCTCTATGTGAAGGACAATGGCTACGCATGAATGCCCGGGCGTCTTCTATGTTACTCAATGTGATGACAGACGAGCTCAAGGCTGACATGCTGAGTCAGAGGGCATCGCAAGACACTGCCAAGATTGTTTTTCGCCTGTATACATGGTACCAACCAGGGGGCTCAGCAGAACGACAAGAGGTGTTGAGACGACTCCAAGCACCATCTGAGTTCCTCAAGGGCGAAGCAATAGCAGATGTTCTCAAAGTGTTGAGATCCTGGCCTAGATGGCTTAACAGATGCTACAGCATGGGAATGACCGCACCAGACCCAACAGTGATGGCGAGAGGGCTGATGACCTTAACGTCTAAGACTATATCCCTTTCACCCGATGCCACGTTCCGCACTGCAATGCTCAGGACTTCTCTTCGTCTCGACGGACAACCTTCCATGCAGCAAGTGGGCGCTTACCAGAGGCACCTACAAGCAGAGCTTGAAGGGCTAGCTGCAGGGATGACTACTATGACTACGGCGCCTCGTATTCAGGCAGTGGATGCAGGGTCACCAAAGGCTGAGAGGGATACTACAAAGCCAGCTACGGACGTCTGCAGATATTTCCTGAAGCCCAGTGGTTGCAGACGTGGAGAGAAGTGTAAGTATGCTCACTCGATGCAGTCTTTAGACCGCGAGGCGCGAGCAAAGAAATGCCTGAAGTGCGGAAGCGAAGCTCATAGACAACGTGAATGTCCAGTGGCAAAGGGGGGGCAGCGGCCAGCAGGATCTACGCCTACATCGGGTCAGCAAAGAGAGCAGAGGGGTGCGAAGCCACCGCTACGTGACCCCGAGGTGGCGTCATTGACTACTACGGCAACGGCAGGATCGACTACTGGGAGTTTGCCGTCTACAGCCTCCACTGCGCAGGGCGTCCCTTGGACATTGGAGGCGCTGGTGCAAGCGGCCCATCAGGTTGTCCAGGGACAATCTCAGGCGGCGGGACAGGGCGATTCATCTCCGGAAAAGACCAAGCCGGAGATGCGGATGTTGATTATCAAGGACATTCGTGTGAGTGCGGCCAATACGGCAGCGGCGCTGCTGGACTCGGGCGCAACCCACTGTCTGAGGAGTGCTAAGGATGAGGCAGAGTGGGCCTCATCAGCGGAGGTGTTGGTGCAACTTGCAGGGTCGAGTAAGCTGATGATGCGGATCAACGACGCGGGCTCCCTACTTATGCCACCGACGGAAGGAGTTAAGGCTGCGGGGAGTGGGGGACAAACGATCGTGCCCTTAGGCGAGCTGGTGTCTACACTGGGATATTCCTTGGAATGGACCCCCACTCACTGTCTTCTGAAGGATTCTGTTGGGACGGTTACAAGATTGAAAGTCCAAGGGGGTTGTCCGCAGATGTGTGAATTGGAGGCTTTGTCGATGATCTCCAGAATAGAGGACAGACGCCGAGAGAACCTCGAGAATGTGACCCAAAACACCGAGGATGCCCTGGCCATGGCGGCGCTGCAGCTGGACAAGTCTTGGAAGGATCACCTGCAGGACTTCGTTGCTGGGGGTGATATGCATGCAGGACTAAGGGCACTTCGGGATGCACCATATCTACAAGGGCTTCCAGGAGAATGTCTTAATGGACTTCTTGAGCCAGGCCTGAAGGAAGCGGGTTGGAGCGCTCTAAAGTCAGTGGATTTCTTGTCACGTCCTCAGCGGCGACGTCTTTGGTCAGCGAAGCGGTGGATAGTTCATATGTTCGCCGGAAATCCGGGCCATTACCAGATGTTCCAGGTGGATGAAGGGGACACGGTGATGATCGAGCTGGACGTGGATCGCTGCAAGGGCCAGGACGTTATGAGGAGCTCAACGTGGAGGTTCTTGTTGTGGGGCGCGATGATGGGAAAGTTGGATGGAATCGTTGGAGGGCCACCAGGGAGAGGAGGAGTACTACAACATGGTGAAGCTCCCAAGGGTTCAGATGTCAAGGTGATGAGTGTTTTGGCGAGGATGCTATGGCTATATTCGGTTGCAGAGGCGTCGAGAGCGCTAAGATCGGCAGGGCCCAACCATCAGAGGCCGGTGGCATTCGCGCTGGAACACCCAGCAGCTACGACTGTGACTTCCTGTACGGCTCGCTACACTACAGATGCAACCACAAGGGCGGCGAGATCGCTATGGACAACAACTATGTGGGAAGCGTTTCAAGAAGCCTATCAAATGAGCCAAGTGACGTTCGATCAGCAATGCATGGGATTGCTGAACTCCATACCTACAACAATTGGCACCAATATCTACTACTTGATGGGCTTGGATGGAATGCAGCCAGAAGGTGGAGGAAAAGCCGTGAAGGGATTGGGTTCAGGAGTTTGGGCGCCGGGACTAGTGGATGCAATGGTGACAGCCTTGAGGTTCTGGACAAGAGCGCCTAAGGAATCTCCGAGACTATTGGCGTTTTCCCCTGAGCAATGGAAGGCGCATATACGGTCGAATCATGCAGAATACCGAAGAGACTGTCTGACGTGCGTTATGTCCCGAGGCACAGGCAAGCGTCATGGTCGAGTTCGGCATCCTGAGCAATTCAGCTTGACCATCGATCTAGCTGGACCAGTGAAGCCAGCGCTAGACGCCACCTCAAAGGGCACTCTGGGCAAACACCTCAAGTACCTCATGGTGGCGCGCTACACAATGCCAAAGGAATATGTCAAGGCCTACACCTCGCGGGAACCACCAGAAGACCATGGACTAAAAGAACCGATGGACGCAAAGGCCAAGGGGAAGTTTCTACAGCCACCTCACCAGGAACCAGCAGAACCTTCTCAACGA